ACAAAATTTTCAGTAACAAAAAAAATGAACCAAATCGAAAAAATTAACGAAAATTTTTGAAAAAAAAAACATCAAAAAAAGTTGCAACATAAAAATGAAAATTAAATCAAATTAAGAACTTTTTTCGTTAAAAATCATGCTGCAATATTGCCAACTTAATTTCAAAACCACTTTGATCAGAAAATTACTAAAATTCACCTCTATTTAAACAAATTAAATTTTTCGACAAAATTTTTTAATTCCAAGTAAATTTTTGGAATTTTTTTAAAATAAATAGATTAATCTTTATTAATTTATAAGAAATTTCTTTTTAGCAATGGAGTTAGAATTAATCGAAAATTTTAAAAATCAAAAAAATTTCGTTAAAATTTAAACTGAATAAACAAGAGAAACAATACATTCATATCCAGGTTTTGCAATTTCGGAATTTGAAGCAATTTTTTTAAGAACACTTTCCAAAATAATGCCTTTTTTGGACTTTTTTTCACTTGGAATAACTTAGATTTTAATTAACAAATATTAATTAAATTAAAACTTTAACAATAATAAAAAATTTGTTAAAAAAAATCAGTATAACAAACCTGACTCATCAAAAATTAAAAAAAAATTACTAAAATAAGCAAACTTAGCAAAACAAACCATTTTTAACGAGATCTCATTAAAACCTTTCTATTTTTTTCTATTGAAAAAGAGACCAATTCTTGATTTTAAAAAATAATAAATAAAATTAAAATATCAAAACGACAAAAATTTTGAATCTCAAGTCAATTTTTGGTCATTCACACGCAAAAACCTGCACCAAACAGCTAAAAAAAGATTATTTTTATAAAAGAATACACTAAATTTTGCTCCTAGAAAATTCAAAATCAATCAAAATAACACAGAAATCAACAAAATTTTGATTAACAAAGAAACTAACCAAATCGGAGAAATCAACGAAAATAACACATTTTTTAAAAATTATAAAAAAAGTCGCAATATAAAAATAGAAATTAAATCAAATTAAGAACTTTTTTCGTTAAAAACCATGCTACAATATTGACAAC